GGAATGGCTGACATACGTGTCAGGGATGATTCTGGTGAGTTACAAAGTGAAATTATTAATTTAATCATTATAAATTATTATATATGTCTCAAATGTGCATACATACTTACATAAATTTATATTGAATTAAAATTAGTGTTAAAATCAAATTCTTATAGACGTTAATATGCTCTGTTGTAGTTAAAGAGTGAAGAGGTAAATCGCTTGTTTCAAAAGCCCAATCAAAATTTCGAAAACTTCCTGTTCCGGAGGAAGACCCAATAACTCCCATTTTTATTGCTGAAGAAGTTCTGGAGGAAAATCCTCATTTATTAATAGAATATCGCTCTCCAATGGGCATGGTGGAAAATTTGGATGGAAATTATTTCGTTTCTCTTAGAAAAAGCAAAACTACATAGTTTTAATAAGGTTAGATAAATTTCAAATAGAAAAGAATTTAACAAAATTGTAATAGTTGATATTATATTTACATCTATTTTGTTTATTTGCAGATGGTGTTGTTATCACAATATGGTTTCGAACTAGATACCCCTTTAAAATGTCTTCAATTAATTTGACATCATTGTTTTAAGTGCATTTTATTCTAAAATTTTGTTATCAAATTTTGACTTTATAATATCCATTTATTTACTCCAATTTCTTGTTAAAACAATTATATATTCAATATATGGTATGTACGTCATGACATATTTTATGGAAATAATTCGTGTAACCATTGTTTTGATTTTAAATAAAATATTATTAGTAGCTATAAAATGAAAGTTATTTGTGTTTCAGCAAAATTTTTAAGCAAAGAGAGGAAGAAAAATGTGGTTATTTAAAGCATAAGGTTAGTCGCATTCCATTGGTTATATTAGTAGTAGGTTAATATGATAGGCAGAATTCAGAACAGTGCTCTTTAAAGCAATTGGCACGTTCGTCCTTGTAAGTCATGCAAGATAAATATTTTGTTCTTATGCTTACTCTGATTATTCTTGTAATAAGGTTTAAAATGTTAGTATATAATTGTATTATACGATTAGTTAATATTTTATTTGAAAAGGAATGTATTTTGTTTATTGTTTATTTATTATTATTTAATTTATTCATTTGTTTTTGTATTAAATTAAAGCGATAAAGCAATATAATTGTTAGTATGTTAGTGCGAGCGTGGTTTTTTTAATAATTGAATAAGAAAATAGACGGTAGTAGCACTACCAAATATTCCGAGTATAGATAATCCTCTGAATAGATCTCGGTAAAAATTCGAATTTGATTGTCTTTTGTGATCGCTTAAAATTTTTAGTTGGTTTTCTATGTCAGCAAGAGGTGTTCCTTCGGAAAGATCCCATTTGGTTGTTTCAAATAACTTATCTTGCATTAAATAGTCATTTGGTAGTGTTAAGGTGTCTAGTATTGGAATATCCTTTAATAATGTTGAGATGTTTAAACTTATATCAGGTTGGTATAAATATTCTACTTCACTGTTTTGTATTGATGTTCCTGATATGGTGATATATGAATTTCTGGCAACACAAGTGTTTCCTAGTCGTAGCAATCCAAATCCAGAAATTTTTATTTTTCTTTCATAATTATTAGAACAAGATATTGTTATTATTTCATCAGCGCTAGAGGAAAATAACCATCCTCCTAGTGTAGCAACTTGATTCCAATATGTTTTCAAGTTGGTTTTTATTCTGATATCGCATAGATGCCAGAGTTTTTCATTAGGTTCGAAAAGTAATTGACTTTCGCATGATTTTAAGCCATTTGCTTCATATACAGGTTGATAATTATTGCAAATACTGTAGCTATTCATATTTATGCAGGTATTTAGTACTTCTTGGTCTGCATATATATAGGAACGTCGGTCTTCTGATAAAATTATAAAGGGTGTTTCAGGGATAATATATGCTGAATAATTTTGTGTTTTCATATTTTGTGGTATAGGATAAGAATGGATTTTATATAATTTATAGGCGTTTTTATTTAGTAATGGGATGTCTATGATTACTAAAAATTTTTCTTTGTAATATCCAATTTTTGTTTTTGTAATATGTGAAAGTTCTTCTGCAAGAATTCTTTATCCTTGGATTGGAAAATCGTAGTTTTCATTAATTTCGAGGAGTCTGTTTTTTATGTCTTGTAATTGTTCTGGAGTTAATAATGTTGGGTGTAGTTTTCCTTCTCTTTCAGATAGGATGATTTTTATTATTTCGTTCATAGCGTGAATAAAATGGTCGAGTTTTGATTCTATGCTTTGAGTCCATTGAGATAAATAATGGTAATACTGTCTTTTATTTAATGATTCTGTCAAAGCATTTAAATTTTTTAAATTGGTTCTTAAATTGTTTAAAACTTCAGAGTGTCTATCAGCTTGTTCATATAATTTTTGATGGTCAGAGCGGATTATATGTGTTTGTTGTCCAACAAGATGTGTTAGGTTTTTATTAAGCTCGTAGAGTTCATCAATAGCATCTTCGTAGGTTTCTCCATCTTCGGTGGTTAAAATGCCTATAATAGGTTTTAATCCTTGTCCAATGAAGTCTAGTGGGGATCTTCGTTTTCTCATACTGTTTGGAAGATTCTCTATGTCCACTGGAGTGTCCTTTAGAATGGTTAACAGGTTTGTTGCATCTTGGAAAATATTATTTGCTTGAGTAATTTTCTCTTTTAGGGTGTGAGGTCTTATTGCTTCTTCACAGGGCTCGGTGTATAGCATGGCACAATTGTTGTACATAATGTCGATATCTTTGATTAGAGTTTTCATTGGAAAATTGTTTTGTAATTTCTTCATATCCAGAAATATTGTGAGCCGCCAATAAGTTTCGATAAATTTTACTGTTCTTAGTCGTTCGAAGAATAAACCTGGATTTTTATCAAAAATGGTAATCTTATATCTCTTAGGATTTGCTAGTATTATAGGGACTAAAATGAACAATTCCCAGGGTAAAAACATCTTTATCTGTGAAAATTGTAAATTTTATTAATTTAATAGTGGTATATATATATATTTTTTTTGTAGATATATATATATATATGTACCAAGTTAGAGTCATTATTTATGGTCTAATATGGGTAATGTGATTAGGGTTGAAATTATGAATTATTATGCAAAATTTTAAGCGTGTCTTTCCCCCCTAAAAAAAATTTCATCGTCCTCGATGAAGAGAGAAGAGAAAAAGAAGAAGTATTTAAGGCAAGAAAAATTTATTAGATTAATAGAACCTTCGTGAAATTTAATTGAAAATAATAAAATTTATTACAGAGTTTTATTTAAAAATTTAAAATTTTATTATAATTTTAGAACTGCAATTCTTCAATTTAATTTTTGTAGATAAAAATTTAATTAAAATTGTATTTTAAATTATTTTAAAAATTAAATTGTATTAAAAATAATAATTTTTATTGTAAATAATTAAATTTTTAATAAGAATTTTGTTTGTGAGAATAATTGAATTTTTTTTTTTTTTAAATAATTTAAAATAGTAATAAAAAAAAATTATAGTAGATTTCTTCTATGAATTACTTATAATTAATTTCCAGTATTTAAAAAGAAATAGTAGTTTTAATGGGCGAGTGCGAAGCCTGAGTATTAGATAGTGGATGAGAGTGAAAGAAAAACAATGTGGTGTATGTTGTGCGAGACAGAGAGAGAAATTAATTTCTAAAACTGCCAGTAAAAGTATAGAAAATTCAAGCCTTCAAACATTTCAATTTGAAATCCTTTTCAAAATAATTCAACTACTTAAACACAAGATTAGGTGTACAACCTGCTAAATAACCAAATGTTTCTTACAGTTTTACTTCTTATAAAGAATTTTACCAATAAAGCTTTAAATGATTGAATTCTTTTACCGAATTTCAATCAAGACTTCAGTGATGAACTTCAATAATAATAAAAATAATTAAATTTCCGAAAAAATGTATAATTTATAAAAATAATTAAATTCGGAGAGTTTGTTATTTATGAAAGTGATTGAGTTGATAAAGGAATTAAAATTCTGTCAATAATTCGCAATTTTTAGTAATTAATTAAATTTTTATTAACCAATTTAATTAACTTCAATAAGAATTTAAATTCTTAGTTTCAAGATATATGATTATTGCAATTATAATAACAATAATACACATTCAAGTAATGGAAGTAGAAAAGTGGAAAGAGAGAGCGTGTACGAACTAAGAGAAATAAGAATATAGTAGGTGTCGTATGCTTGGAAAAGAGGAATCAATGAGGAAGAGAGAGAAAGTTGGATTTTGTGTAGGGGAAGAGAGTGAGAGAGAGAAGAAGAGAGAGAAAGAATCAGAAATTATTTTCTAAAGTTGCCAGTATAGAAGATTCAAGGCTTCAAATATTTTGATTTGAACTTTTTAAAGATAATTTGAAATTACTTAAATACAATAGTATACAACTCATTAAACAATCAAATGTTTCTTATAGAGAACTTTACCAATAAAGCCTTAAATGATTGAAAAACTTCAATGATGAGCTCCGATAATTATGAAAACAAATGAATTCCAAGAAAAGAATTCATGGAAATGATTTGATTCAAGAATTTATTATTTATGCACACCGTGCAGGAAGACAAATATTATCAACTTTCTTTGTGGCAACTTTCTGTTACTATTTTATGATTCTACAAACCTTCCTGATGAAAATGCTACTTTGACCAAAATCGTAAGAGCTAATTTTTCAAAAATATTTGAATATTTATATAAATTTTCGATGCAAGTTAGCGTAGAATATAAAATTATATACATATATATGTTTTTTAATGTCTTTTAAACAAACAAACGTCTCGAATATCGATCGTATCGTTCGTCAAATGTTTCTTTGTGTTTAGACAAAAAAATTATGGTTTAGTTGTCAAAATTAAAAATGGCAATTGCTGTAGTTAATTAAATCAATTTGTGAAATATTTTTGAGTAGCGCTCGTTTAATTCTATAAAGTAGCTAGTTCTAAAATAGTTATTAACATGTCTGAGTTTCTTGGAAAACTCATGAAGAAAATAGAGGGAAAGTGTGCGCTCCGTGTGGTAAGAAAATCAAATACGGAGGAAAAAGTGCAAATCGTTTTCTTATAACTGATAAAATTTGTGAAAGAATAAAATGTTTCATCGATCCTGATTTCTCTACTCAAAACAGTAAATTTCCAATTGGTATTTGTGCAACATGTTCTACAACTTTGGTTGAACACGAAAAAGGTATCAATAAAAGGCCTCTACCACCAAGGATAAATTACGAGGATATTCATCTAAAAAAGGATACGCGGTCGGGAACTTTTGAAATTTGCGCATGTTACATTTGTCTGACGGCAAGATGTAATTATCACAAAAAACCAGAATATTCTCGTCATGAAGGTCGCCAATTTAATACAATAATTGATGAGCATAACGGAAAATACGGAAAAGAAATAAATAGTAAATTATCGATTGCTTCATTTGACGACAACAATCCCGTTAAAATTGATAAAATTTCGAAAAGTATATCACTGTGTAGTAAATGTTATCAACCATTTGGAAAAGGCAAAATGCATTCTTGCAGTGATAAGAGCATGTCTGTAGCCTCGATAAAAAATATTTTAGAAAATTTACCTCAAAAGCAAGTGGAACAAGTGGTTAGTTCAGTTGTGAAAGACTTAAAAAGTAAGGAAGTCCCAGAAAAATCGTCAATTGTGCTGAGTAATGAAAGAGGTAAACCGACAGTTCTTTATACAAAATCTATTTCAAATAAAAATGACTTGTTCTCTAACGATGATCTAGACAATTTCGCAGTTAACTCAAATTCTTCAGTCCGCGGACTCAGAAAATTAACCAATTTCATACGTTCTAAGGTAGGCCGTAATTCAGTTCCTAAAAGATATGCCGAGCATTTTACAGAGAAGCAAAGAAAGTTAGATTACCTCTATAAAAGTGATACGTTTTCTTTTGATACGTCAAAATCAAAAGAGCAGAGGCCTGTAATTTGGGCTGACGCTACAGATTTAGTAGAAGCAGTAGTAGAAGCAAGAAAATTCATTGGATTTTACTCCGTAAAATTAATGGCAGATGGGGGTGGGGATTTTTTCAAACTTTGCCTAACCATACTTCCAGAAGATTATTCTTCTGAAGAATGTGAACAAGATTGCTTCGAAGAACCATCGAAAAAAAGAACGAAATTGTACGCTGAGGGTGGGTCCGCTGGTTGCAAAGCAAAACTGACGAGTGTGAAAAGAACTATTATTCTTGGTATCGTTCCAGACATAAAGGAAACATATGAAAATGTGAAAATTTTATTTGATTTAACGAAAATTAATGATGTTTCATTCAAAATGGTTTGCGATTTTAAATTAATGTTGTTAGTCAACGGAATGCAAACAGCAACATCTACATTTCCGTGTCCGTACTGCTTCGTTACTTTGAAAGAATTGCGCTGTATCGGAGAGGATCATTCTGAAAATGCAGATTGCGAAAAATCGGTTTCTCTTAAAACATACGGAGATTTGAGAAAAGACTTTTATAAATTTGAGAGTATGAAGAAAGTTAAAAAATTTGCTCCTGAGTGCCACAGCACTGTAAATCTGCCTCTTCTCACCGAAGCTGATGATGTATGCGTTCTTGAGAAATGCATTATACCCGAATTACATGTTCTTCTGGGCTTTGTTAATCATTTGTTTTGGGATGGACTCGTACCCATCTTAACAGAACCAGTGGCACTATTATGGCCGAAAAAACTTAACCTTGTTACTAAAAATTACCATGGACGCCAATTTGAAGGTAACGCCTGTCGTGTTCTGCTTAAATCGGCTGATATGCTTAAGGACAAGGACATATGTGGCGAAGTTGGTGAGCTACGTGTATTACCATTCATCAACGCTTTTAAAGCTATGGATAAGATAGTTGGCAACTGCTTTTCAACAAAGAAAATCGAACCAGAAACTGTTCAAAATTTAAATAAATTAAACAAAATTCTACCAGCAACGGAAATTTCGAAGACCTTAAAAATCCATGTTCTGCTAGATCATTTTATGGACTGTGTCAATTTTTTGGATGGAGATGGACTGGGAAATTGGTCTGAACAAGCCGGCGAATCGATCCATCATGAGTTTTTAATTCACTGGAATCGCCGAAAAGTGTCTTCCTTTGATAATCCATCCTACATTAATCAACTAAAGTCCGCTGTCATTTCATTTTCATCTTTAAATCTGTAAAATTTGGTAAGTTTTTTGTAATTAAAATAAAGAAAATAACCTTTTGCAAAGTACAAATAGTAAATATAATTAAAATACATTTTTACGCAATCTTATTAAAATAAAAGTCATTCATATTCATTTATTTTCGATAAATTAGCTCTTACGATTTTGGTCAAAGTAGCATTTTCATCAGGAAGGTTTGTAGAATCATAAAATAATAACAGAAAGTTGCCACAAAGAAAGTTGATAATATTCGTCTTCCTGCACGGTGTGTATGAAAGTGGTTGAATTAATAAGAAAAATTAAAGATATGTTAATAATTGAATTTCTACAATTATTTTCAACTCTTACAAAATTCAATTTCTTTAAAATTGCTTATTTTATAGAAACTAAAAAATCAATCATGCGTTTTAGCTCGCGAATTGTTGTATTAGTGGAAAAGTGGGAAGAGAGATAGCGAATGATACATTGAGAAAGCGAATATATATGGATGAAGAAGAATAAAAGATAAATGTTGCGTGTTGAAAGAAGAAAGAGTGAGATTTTGAGAAGAAGTATTATGTTTAATGTACTTAGATTAATGAATGAGGTTGAAAGTATAGAAAAGAAGGAAAGGAAAGTGGAGGGATGATGTGAATATTGTGGTTAGTGTGTGTATAAAAAGATATTTAGAAAAGTAAAAATATGTTGTTTGTAAAATTTCATTTGTATGATCGTTATCGAAATGGGAAAAATTTTAAGTATTATGTTTTATGTAGTTTGATTGAATGGTGCGCTGTACGCTAGAGTGAGAAAAGAAAGAAACGGAATATATAATTTTAAATGAAAATCTTAAAAATGGTCTTAGAACTTCCATTCAAATTTTGAAAATTATATTGAAAGGGGGTGTATCTATGGGGGGGGGTGGCAAAGTCGTTTAAGCTAATCAAAATTCGCGAGGGAATTCGCGTTCGCGAGATAACGCTCGGGAGTCGCGGACAATAGACAGCGGTCGCGCGGGGACTCTACCTGCTATGTCGCTTGTGAGGCGGTGTGCGGGCTATAGGAGTGAGAGAGAGCGCACTAGGAGCATACGCACGAGAGATTGGGTAAGACGGCTGCTATGCGTTAGAGAGAGAGAGATACAAATAAAAATGAATAAAAGGGAAACTATTCTGACAGTTTTGTTTTTATGTAAAATTTTTTTTTTTTTATTTTTATTTTATTTTCAGATTAAAATTAGATAAAAGGGAATTATCAGTAATTAAAAGATTGATTGTTTCGTATTGGAATTCGTGTTCTAAATTAAACAAAAGATTGAAGAACTAGGAATTTTCTTATGAATTTCAAGAATTCAATTATTTTAGTACCTTTAATTAGTACTTTTGATTATTTTTCCTTTTTATAATGGCGAAATATATTAGGGGCAAAATTCCTCAATTGTCCTAACTTAAAATCGAAAGTCTTCAAATCGGGCTGATTTTTGCACAAACTTTTATACTATGCGAGAGAACTTTACCCATAAAATATTAAGATATTTTATTAAAAATTGTAGGGGGGAGAGGGGGTTAAAGTTTTTGGTAACGTGTGGACAGTGGATTCTTTTGGCTAATATAGCTAAAATACAATAGAGTGGACAAAATTTTGACCTATGAGGCATTATTCCTGAACTGCCCCAAAAATAAAAAAAAGTTCTTGGATTTCCTTTATACTTTGGAAATATGTTACCCTAGTAGGTACAAGTTACTACACCAATTTACAGGTCCAACCCCCCACCCCAATCAAAAGGGTGGGGGGTTGAAATTTCAGCTTCAACTCGAACATGCATTCTTTAAACATTTGTAGTTTCTACTTAAATTATTCAATTAAAAAAAGTAAGTAGTGTTTTAGAAAGGTTTTTTTGTGTACTTTTAAAATATTTTATTTATATAATAAAAAAAAAATTTTTTTTGCAAAAATTTTTTAAAATAAATAGTTTTTTGCAATTTTGTGCAAGTTCGGTAGTTTTTATTTTCTTTTTAATAATCTCAAATGAAAGCTTGGGAATTCCCCTAAAAGAAGATATAAGTCTGAAAATGGGCCGAAACAATTTGCCAAAGATATAGTGAAATAAGTAAAATTTGTCCGTCCGCTCGCGCACTCCAGCGCGATGAACAGTGGGATTTTTTTTCAACTTACTATTGAAAATTGTCTAGAAACTATAAATTTTAACGGATGTTGATGTTCTTGATTTAAAATTACTAAGAGATCCATCAAAGTCGATTTTTGAATTTTTAATTGTTTATTTTTTTCTTGTTACTCAAAAATTTGACAAATTACAATATTTTTAGAAAAAATCATGTTAGTTTTTTTATTTTTCCATTACACATGATCGAAATCAATTTAAATTAGTCTAGTATGACCACCGGACAATTAATAAAGCATAATACAATTTATTTAAATTGTTGCAAACAATGTTAATTAACAAATAGATTACTTCGGACCTTCTTCATAAAAAAAATTGGTTTTTTTGCAGACAAGTTTAAATTTATGTCTAATTTAGTAAAAAACTATTTTACAGTTAAAAATTATGATTAATATTAACAATTATATAAACAATAATCAACTTCCTTTTGTATTTGTAAACATTTTCGTCATTTTTCAAACTTTAAATATTTGTATCATATGTACATTCTTTCAAAAACTTAAAAAATTTATTAGCTTAAACAATTACATTTGTTATAAACAAACTTTTGATTTTTAAACAAATAAGTAGCTTTTTTCATCAAACAAAATTTTTTCCTTTTTTTTATATTTACTATCATAAAAAAGAACTCCTTAATGAAATGGGAATACTATAAATTATTCATTTAATTCTAACGAACATTATAAGTTAAGAAATATTTATATTTTTAATGAAGTAAACCATTATTCAGTTAAAACAGTTTACATTTAAATGCATATAAATAAATATATTTTTTCTGTGAAAAAAGAACAAAGTTAAATATTTGTTAACTTATAATGTTTATTAAAATTAAATGAATAATTTATAGTATTTCCATTTCATTAAGGAGTTCTTTTTTATGATAGTAAATATAAAAAAAAGGAAAAAATTTTGTTTGATGAAAAAAGCTACTTATTTGTTTAAAAATGAAAAGTTTGTTTATAACAAATGTAATTGTTTAAGCTAATAAATTTTTTAAGTTTTTGAAAGAATGTACATATGATACAAATATTTAAAGTTTGAAAAATGACGAAAATGTTTACAAATACAAAAGGAAGTTGATTATTGTTTATATAATTGTTAATATTAATGATAATTTTTAACTGTAAAATAGTTTTTTACTAAATTAGACATAACTTTAAACTTGTCTGCAAAAAAACCAATTTTTTTTATGAAGAAGGTCCGAAGTAATCTATTTGTTAATTAACATTGTTTGCAACAATTTAAATAAATTGTATTATGCTTTATTAATTGTCCGGTGGTCATACTAGACTAATTTAAATTGATTTCGATCATGTGTAATGGAAAAATAAAAAAACTAACATGATTTTTTCTAAAAATATTGTAATTTGTCAAATTTTTGAGTAACAAGAAAAAAATAAACAATTAAAAATTCAAAAATCGACTTTGATGGATCTCTTAGTAATTTTAAATCAAGAACATCAACATCCGATAAAATTTATAGTTTCTAGACAATTTTCAATAGTAAGTTGAAAAAAAATCCCACTGTTCATCGCGCTGGAGTGCGCGAGCGGACGGACAAATTTTACTTATTACACTATATCTTTGGCAAATTGTTTCGGCCCATTTTCAGACTTATATCTTCTTTTAGGGGAATTCCCAAGCTTTCATTTGAGATTATTAAAAAGAAAATAAAAACTACCGAACTTGCACAAAATTGCAAAAAAACTATTTATTTTAAAAAATTTTTGCAAAAAATTTTTTTTTTTATTATATAAATAAAATATTTTAAAAGTACACAAAAAAACCTTTCTAAAACACTACTTACTTTTTTTAATTGAATAATTTAAGTAGAAACTACAAATGTTTAAAGAATGCATGTTCGAGTTGAAGCTGAAATTTCAACCCCCCACCCTTTTGATTGGAGTAGGGGGTTGGACCTGTAAATTGGTGTAGTAACTTGTACCTACTAGGGGAACATATTTCCAAAGTATAAAGGAAATCCAAGAACTTTTTTTTATTTTTGGGGCAGTTCAGGAATAATGCCTCCTATATGTTTTCGAAAGGTTTTTTCCTCCTCTTTCGAATGGTGTAAAAACTTTTTTTTTAATTAAAAATTTAACTAATTTTTTTCAAAATTAAAAATATTTTTCACTTTTTTTTAAAAAACGGCATTTTTTCTCTCTTTTTTTTGCTTTAAAATAAAGTTTAATATGTGTACTTCCCATAACTGATTCTGAAAAAATGACGTTTTTTTTTGTTTTTGAATTATTAATTAATTAATTAATAAAAATCAGTAAAAAATTACTAAAAAATGAAATATTTTTTAAGCAAGTAAACTTTTCTGAATTATGAGATTATCATCGTAAAGCTTACCTAATTCCGCATCCAACAAGTATAATTACACCTATTTTTACAAATAATTGTTAAATAAATAAATAATTGAAAATTTATTTATTAATTTTTTGAAATTGTTTATAAAAAATAGTTAAAAATAAACTTGTTGGGTGCGGAAGTTGGTAAGCTTTACGTTGGCAAGCGCAAAATTAAGAAAAGTTTATTTCTTTGAAAAATAATAATTTTTTAAAATAATTTTTATTAATTAATTAATAAATAATACGAAAAGAAAAATGTCATTTTTTCCTAATCGGGTATTAAAAGTACACATATTAAGCTTTGCTTGAAATAAGAATAAAAATAAAAAATGTCATTTTTCCAAAAATGAATAAATAAATAATCAATTATTTATTTATTTAACAATTATTTATAAAAAACAGTTTAGTTTATGCTTGCTGGATGCGGAATTTTGTAAGCTTTACGATGATAAGCTGATAATTAAGAAAAGTTTATTTGCTTGAAAAATATTTAATTTTTTAGTAATTTCTTACTATTATTAATTAATTAATTAATTATTTGAAACACAAAAGAAAACGGCACTTTTTCCTAATCGAGTATTGAAAGTACACATATTGAGCTTTATTTTAAAGCAAGAAAGAAGAAAAAAATGTCCTTTTTTCAAAAAATTAATAAATAAATTTTCAATTATTTATTTATTTAACAATTATTTGTAAAAATAGGTGTAATTATACATGTTGGATGCGGAATTAGGTAAGCTTTGCGATGATAATATCATAATTCAGAAAAGTTTACTTGCTTAAATAATATTTCATTTTTTAGTAATTTTTTACTGATTTTTATTAATTAATTAATTAATAATTCGAAAACAAAAAAAACGTAATTTTTTCAGAATCAGTTATGGAAAGTACACATATTAAGCTTTATTTTAAAGCAAAAAAAAAGAGAAAAAAATGCCTTTTTTTAAAAAAAGTGAAAAATATTTTTAATTTTGAAAAAAATTAGTTAAATTTTTAATTAAAAAAAAAATTTTTACACCATTCGAAAGAGGAGGAAAAAACCTTTCGAAAACATATAGATCAAAATTTTGTCCACTCTACTGTATTTTAGCTATATTAGCTAAAAGAATCCACTGTCCACACGTTACCAAAAACTTTAACCCCCTCTCCCCCCTACAATTTTTAATAAAATATCTTAATATTTTATGGGTAAAGTTCTCTCCCATAGTATTAATGTTTGTGCAAAAATCAGCCCGATTTGAAGACTTTCGATTTTAAGTTAGGACAATTGAGGAATTTTGCCCCATTATTATTATAATAATATAAGAGGTATATATTTCAATTCATGTTTTATGTAAACATTGAATTGAAACATTATAATGTGGAGTGTAGTGTATGGAATGTGTTTTAGGCTTTGAGATTCTTCTTTTTCATATTCAGTGTCTTGTGTTTGTTTGATTAGAAAAGATGTCTTCTCAATTAAATGGTAAAAAAATGTGTTTAAAATAAATGAAATTTGTGAGGATTAATGGAAGATATAATTATTTAATTTGTTATTATTTATTAAGAGTTTTGTTTTTTTTTTTTTTTTAGGTAGTTGTGTATATTGTGGTCAAGCATCAGGTTCTCGTCCTGTTGCTGGTGGAAGTAAAAATAATAGTGGGGGTAAGATGATTATTATTTAATGTCGTGAGATATGTATTTGATGTATTTTTATTTTGTTGCAATTTTAGCAAGGAAATGTTTGTTTTAGGGATTGTGTGCTTTGGTTGTGGGGCTGTTGTTTTAATTAATAGAGGTGGAAGTAGCAATTCGGGGTTGATGGAGAGGGAAAAACCGCTTTTCGAATACTTTTCAGAAAACAAAAAGACGAATTTGGTTTTGCCAAATATGCAAGGTGGTGGAGAAATTTTAAGTAAAGATGCTTGGTTTATTGACAAGGATTTTGAAGGTGAAAAAGTAAAAAGACCAAAACCTCTCCAAAAATTCACAGGTTTTTGTCCATTGGGGATTGTTTTACCTTATGTGAGTTGTTTTTATCTTATTTATTATATTTTTTTGAAAACTATACATATTTATTAAACATTAAATTTATTACTTCTTTTGTTGTAGGGTTTTATTGAGGATAAAGAATAAAAGGAAATATGTATTATAGTTAAAGAGTTACGTTAAATTTTAATAAATGTGAGTTTTTATAAATAAATTTACTGTTTTCTATTTTTATTTAATGTATATAAAAAATTATTAATTATTATTATAAGAAAGAATAAATTTAAATTTTAGTTTGGTAAAAAAAATTTTAATTTAATAAATTTTTAGTCGGATTTAATTAATAATTTAATTAATTTTATAAGGTTTAAAAATAATTGTTTGTTAAATAAAATTTGTTACATAAAGAGAAGAGAGTGTATTTTCTTCGAATGGACTGAGTTGCCTAATATTGTCTGCTGTTAAGCATCTCTTAACATTATGGCGACGTGATGTTTATGTTATTTAGAGACGATTTGGAGTGCTTTGGTTTCATGTGATATGGTCATCCATGGCATGACATTTGTGAATGCTGATATTCATCAGTATTCTTCTGATTTTTATTTGAGTTAGACGTTTGTGAATTGAGAGAAGGATAAAAAGTATTTTCTTACATTTTGTTTAATTTTTAAAGTTTTTATATATTTTGTTGCTGTTATTGTAGTTTGTTGAGTTATATATATATCATATTTTTTTTTTTTTAAATGAGTTTAAAGGTGGAAGATTTGTTTGTGTTTGTGAACAATGGTTTGTTCACGGAGAGGCATCTTCGTGGTATAAGATATTTTTCTGCTGTTATGTACAGCAGATATCCGCAGTTCATCAATCTGGTAAAAGAATACAATAGGGAAATAGGAAGAGTTCCGCTCATTTTTCCTAATCTTTCAGAGGAAGTGGTTGAAGAAATGGAAAACCATTTGCAATATATATATTTTGGGATTAGCCGGATGATTAGCAGTATGTATCAGGTGAAGACTGCGGAATTAAATTTATCTGGGTAAGTAGAAGCATTTTTCATGCCTTGATGTTTGTATGTAATTGTGTTGATTTTATGTTTGTGAGGGAGGTTTTATTTGTGTGTTATTTGTGATGTAGTACATAAGAAAAAGTGAGTGGATGTTGTTACAGAGAGAGCGAGTTGTGTTTTGTTAATTCTAAAAAAAATGAGAGAAAAATTAATCAGAAAGGCAACTATAAAAATCGTCTCATTCCTTCTCCACTCTGGCCATACTCTAGAGTTAGTTTTGTGTATGCTTTTCTATGTAGGTAATGTAGGTATGTTTTGTTTGATTTATTATAAAACAATAATAATATTGTTCAGAAATTTATTATTATTTTAGCAAAGAAACATTACATATTCTATTCTATTTGTCAATTACAATTTTAATTGAAAATGAAATTAAAACTTTTAAGTATTTGGAAAGTCAAGGGAAAAAAATTTTTTTTTTTTTACTCAAAATATTCTGTTATATTTATTTAAGATAAAATTTTTGTAAAACTATTCGAAAACATTAATAACCGTTTAAACTAATATATAACCAATATTATTATTATTTTTTATTTTTTTTTTGCAGGAATTAAGAGTTTCGAAAATTTCAAATTCATATCTTTCAAATTCAATAACTCCAAAAAACACAAGATAGCGACTGCTCCGAGTCGAAAACTTAGAGTGATCGATCTCTTCATGTTTTCTAATAATTAAAGATGACTGAGTGGTAAAATCATTGTTGTATATTATAAGAATATTATTACAGTATTTCCCTCCAAACTATCTTCCTCATTTCAAATTAATTATCACCTTCTACAATTTTCAATTATTTCCTTTTGAAAACAATTAAATTTTTGTAAATTCCATTATTTACGGAAACAATGAAATGTTTGTGTATTATTTAAAGATTGGTTGCAATATAATTAAACTTTGGGGAAAAATTTTGTTATTTATTTATATAATTGTGATTTGGATAAAAATTTTCTTTTTAAATTTGAGAGATAAAATTTATTTTTTTTTTATTGTAAATAATTATTTATTTATTTTTTTGAAGAATTTTATCACTTTTGAATATAATTGAGTATATGCAATTATTTGTAATTTTTCTAAGATTGGATTTATATATATACCTATATTTTTTTGTTTTCAACAAAAGTTTAAATTACAAATTTTCAAACTCCATTATCATTTATTCACTTTCATCGTTAATTTTATCTAAAAAAAAGGCATGAAAGTGAACTGGGAGAGAAGAGCATGGTGTGAATACCGTAGGTTAGAGAGAGAAGGAATGAGAGGGGACGAGGGAGATTATGTTGGATGCGTCTTCTGGCAGGCAAAGCGTCGCAGGCAATATATATATATATATATATATATACATTGAAATGCATCGTGAGTAAGAAAAAGTTGCTTTAAAAATGGAAGGTATAGAAAGGAGGAGGGCGCGTAAGAGCGAGGGAGAACGCATGAGAGTGAATGGAGAGAAGGCAGAATGGGGTGAGTGTCGTGTGTTAGAGAGAGAAGGAATGAGAGGGGACGAAGGAGACAATGTTGCATGCGTCCCGTGGCAGGCAATATACACATACACATATAGGGCCGCCACAAAAACTTTACTCTGTATTTCCTTGACTCTTCTTAGATTTTTAGACAAAAATTCGAATTACTTACAACTCCAAACAATACTCCCACTTGTTTCAAATGATATCAGACACGCAAAAGCGAGCGCTGAGTTTCTTGTTTCCTTTCTTAACAAACTATCGAGAAAAATTATTATTTTATTTTTGTTAATTATTTTGGAATAATAATTTATTTATTCATTTATTTATTTATTTATTGAATAATGTAAATAAGTAGTAAATGTCACGCCCGCTAAACAAGGTATTTAATTTATTATTATTATCATTATTTAAAAGAAACTCAATTATCCCTACGAAATTTCAATAAAAATTTTTCGAAAAATTTATGAAAAATCACAAAAATGTTATTTCTTTGAAATTGTTACAGGTGACAGCTAATAAAAGAAACGCGCGCGTGTAGTTTTTTCTAGTATTAATAGATAGAATAGATGCCAATTAAATTGCTAACTTTGTATAAAATTTCATATTTGTGCCTTCAAAAATGAATTTAACAATGTTTTGTTAAAACTCTTTATCAGGCTCAATTTTCAAGAAACAACCATTCAATAAATTATTCACTCCTGTATTCAAATAACTGAATCATCCAATAAAATTCATTTAAAAATGAACTTCAGTTAAAGTTCTTCAAAAATTCGCATTTTTCACACTTATAACTAACAATTCTGTAGAATTAATTATTTTAAAGGTTTAATTGAATGTTATATATAGGGGAGAGTCTCCAGTTGTGAGACGGGTTTTATTTTTGACCCGAAAATTGTAAACGGGTTAACGAAATTGTAAATAAAATACACTGTTCGAAAGGTAACAGAAATACGCAACTTTTATTAAAAGAAAGTATAGTGTTTCGATGAAGTCAAAAAATTTTACGATACATTTTCCGAGCACAGCGCTTTTTTCAAAAAAAAATGTGTCCAGTTGTGAGACACTCATTAAAAATTGCTAAAATTTAATAAGTTTGACATAAAACGTTATGTTTAGTAGAAATAATTAAATGTATTAATAATATATATTATTATATACTAAATAATAATATTTATTCGCCAAAATATGACTATCAAATAAACACAATTTAATAGCTTCAACAAGAGCATTAAAATTGATTTCTTCTGAATCAATTGACTTTTTTTCACTTGACATACCCAAAAATACTAGAAAAAAAACAAAACAACATTTAAATAGTATGCCTGCAAAGTCGTATTTTTTATGCTGCCCAGATGGGTGTTGACACTGTCTCACAACTGGTGATATGCTGTGTCTCACACCCAGAAATTGGCGCTATTTTGAAAAAGGAAAATTAAATTATTTTCAACCGTAGATTGGAACAATGCAATATTGCATCACAAAATATAAGGAAAACACTAAAAGAAAATGCATTACATTTACCTATTCCAATTAATTAACTTGGATAAAAAGTACTTTGCATTTATTGAAAAAACGCTTTTTAGTCGATTATCACACACAGTGTTGGTATTTAACAAAAACAGTTTATATATCCGCTTCGGCGTACACGAAAAAGTTGGCTCATATAAAAAGAAATGTTTTTATATAAACCAATCGGCTTTTTAATATTGCATGTTAAAAAAAATTTACTGTCTCACAACTGGAGGTGTCTCACAACTGGAGACTCTCCCCTATATATTTTTTTTTATTAAGAAATATAATAAAATAAGAAATGTAATATATCCATCGAAACATATAAAAACGAAAGAATAACCATCACCAACTTCAAGTAGGGACAGACTGGACAGAATGAATGAATGAATACGATGATCATTATAGTTAATAATTTAACATAAGAGAATAATTGAATTCTTGTAACAAATTTTATTAAAATTGTGTTTAGATAATAAAAAAATTTTTTTTTTGAATTTAAGAAAATTATATTAAAATAGTAGGTATTAAAATAATTGAAGAATTATAAAAAAATAAAGAATAACTGAAATATTGACAAGAATTTTATTAATTTTATTAATTAATTAATTTATTATTATTTTATTTTATTTTTTTATAATTAAATTTATGTGAAGAAATTTATCGCTTTTGAGAATAATTAAATTTCTGTAATCAGTTTTTCTTACAGTTTCAAATTGGAACCTATTGAGTTTATCTGTTGATGAAGATTGTAAAATCAATTCTTTTGAGACCCAATCAATTTTGGAATTATAATCAAAATTATTTACTAAGTTATTTATGAATAATTTTATGATTGTTTTTCAAATTAAGTTTATACGAAGCTTGTAAATAATTAAATTCCTGTAAAATTTTCAATATGTATTCAGAGTTTAACTGATTTCACAACAATAAAGTTTGACATATGGGTGATTCTTCAATCAGTGGTCACTTTTGCTTCCCCACTGTTCCCTATTTTATATCTTGAAAAATTGTTATCAAACCTACTTCAACCTTTTGCATAATTAATCTCTTCAATATGTTTTTTAGTAATATCATAATCAAAAAAAAATTTTATTTTAAAACAAAAGTTGTAATTCAATTGCAAATGTAAAAAAAACGCACATTTGTCGTTTCTCCACACATGAATTATGAAGTTTAATATGTTTTATTTTTCACAAACTTTATTTTAAACGTTTTTTTTATTTATTCTATTCGAAAGTTCATCTCAATAACTAAGTTTTTGTGTGTCGTTTTCTAATTTCCATTAACAAATCTGTGTAAAAATAATTTTTTTAATTTTTTTTTTCCACTTTTTTTTTATTTGGAACTGGAGTTTACAATTTCATTGATTTTCATTAATTTTATTCCCTTTTTTTAGTGCGATTTTATTTGCCATTAATATTATTAAGTTAATAAGTTGTATTTATGTTAAATTTGCAAAAAGAAATATAATTTTTAGATTTAAAACTACAAAAGTTACTATTATTTTATAGCGTATTTTAAAGGTATGTAAACTCCAGTTCCGCCAAAATTACCGAATTCTAAATATATAAAAAAATAAAAATAATAGTGATTTAGAGTAAGCAAATCTCTTTAATAATCTGCAAAAATTGTTTATTTTTATGAATTTTTACGGTTTTAATGAATTTTTTTCTTTGATTTGTAAACTCCAGTTCCTGTAAACTCCAGTTCCTAATTTTGTTTCGCGTAATGTAAGTGTTTTGTTTTTTTTTGGATGAATACAATTAACCTCGATTAAGCTGTATCAAAACATGTAATTTCAATAACAGGTATGAGTAAAAATATTATTTATTTATTAATTAAAGCAGTTTAAAGTAATTATTTGCTTATTTACACTATTTATAATTATTAACAGTCGAAAATTAACTTTTTCAAATAAATTATTTAACCTTTAAATTACAAATTTTTAAATTGTTTATATATAAAACTAAAGAAAGAATTGAGCTTAAATATCTATAAAATAATCATTCTCAAGCTTTATTAAAAATATCTAAATAAAAAAAATTTCAAAAATTTAATTAAAAAAAATTTTTTTAACATACTCAAAAGTTACCACTTTGTGGAGAATCACCCATATAAAAAAAAATCTTAGTTCTTTAAAATTTACCTTCTATTATTTTTAGGATTTCTAATTTTAAAAAGATGAGTGAGTTTAAAAAAAAATAAAATTAAAAATAAAAATGCTAAGTTTAAGTTTTGAGGATGCTGCATTTTTATTGAGAATGTTAAAATATCAACTTTTGTCACTATTTAGGATCGCTATAAATTGTTTCTTGTTTTTTAATTAGCTCTTTTTGTTTGTTTGTTTGTTTGTTTTTTTTTGTAAAGCGATTGTAAGAATAACAGAGAAAAATTGCGCACTGTTTATTGTTTTTATTTTATTTTAGCACTATTTATCAAGTTGGACCCTGGTGCGAATTTGGGTACACTCATCCTGGGGAACAACAACGTTCATCAGGAATACCGTGGGAGAGTCGCCCTGAGTTGTCGGATGGGCCTCTTCGTTGGTGTCAAGAGTATATAAAATTGCGGGCTGATGGCCCTGTTTATTGGCGGGGTTACTGGATGCCGGTATGTTATATGTTTGTTTATAGTGATGTGTGTAATTTTGTATATTTTATTAATTATTTATTACGTTTAGGTTGACGTCCGCCATCCATCCGAATTCTTTGTGAAGAAGGGTCAGAGAATGGTAGAGAAGTCAGGAGTTGAATCTTCTGTGTGCAGGATTTCTCAGTTGACCAAGTGTATGGAAGGGTTGGAGTGGCAGCCCATTGTTAAAACATTGGTTTTGATCAGGGTGGAACGTTTCACGTTCATGGAGGATGGTCCGACCATTAAAGTAACTTGGGCACTAGTAAGTCTCTTTCTTTATTTTTTGTTTTATGCATAAAGATGTTTGGTTAACTGTATATATAAATTTTCTATTTTTCTTTCAGCGATCTCGTGTGGACAACCTTCTTTTGTGGAGTCCAAAGTATTGTAACACTTGCAAAAACGTATCGTGTTACAAAAGGAGGCAAAATTTAAGGAGACGACGTACCTAAGTGGTTTAATATATATATATATATATATATATATATATAATAAATTTTTTTTTTTTTATTTTATTTTCCTTTTCTCTCTTTTTTTTGAATAGGTTCTACTGTATGAATAGTTTATTAAGGTGTTTGTAATGTAGGGTTTTATTAATTTTATGTGTTAGGGATATTTTAGTTATATCGACATACATATGCATATACGTATATACATTTTTTTTGTGTAATACTCTTCTTATATTACTTTTATGTTTTTTTATTTTTATTTTATTTTCCTTTTCTTTCTTTTTTTTTGAATATATTTATGGGACATTCCACGTCAACACGGACAGAGCTCTAAACAAAAATTGCTTTGTTGGATTTAAACGTTCTAGGGCTTAAAAGATTTCTACGTTCCTGTACTTTAAGATGCCGATGGGCGTTTTTTGCAAAATTCCATTTCCGATGCCAATAGAACTGTCAAAAGTCAAAAGGTCCAAAAATCTCAAAATACTTTTATGAATTAAAAGCAAAAAACGAGGTAAATTATTCTGTAACTCATTCTTTATCAGTTTTTAGGGTTCCCGAATATCAATCTAAAGTTTTTTTTTAAAAATCCAAAATGGCGAATTCAATATGGCGGACAAAATTCAAATTTGATCAGATTCGATGAAAACTTGTTACTCGGGGGTTTTTAGGGTCGCTGATTACGAATCTAATGTCACTTTTTAAAAATTCAAAATGTCGGATCCAATATGACGCAAAAAATTTTCAAATTTGATCCGATTCCCTTAAAACGTGTTACTCGGGGGCTTTTGGGGTCGCAGATTATGAATATGAAGTTACTTTGTAGAAATTCAAAATGGCGGATCAAATTTTTTAATTTGATCAGATTTAATTAAAAAGTGTTACTCGGTGGTTTTTAGCGTATCTGATTATGAATTTGAAGTCTCAAACACAAAGTAACTTCATATTCATAATCTGCGACCCCAAAAGCCCCCGAGTAACACGTTTTAAGGAAATCGGATCAAATTTGAAAATTTTTTGCGTCATATTGGATCCGACATTTTGAATTTTTAAAAAGTGACATTAGATTCGTAATCAGCGACCCTAAAAACCCCCGAGTAACAAGTTTTCATCGAATCTGATCAAATTTGAATTTTGTCCGCCATATTGAATTCGCTATTTTGGATTTTTTAAAAAAAACTTTAGATTTATATTCGGGAACCCTAAAAACTGATAAAGAATGAGTTACAGAATAATTTACCTCGTTTTTTGCTTTTAATTCATAAAAGTATTTTTAGATTTTTGGACCTTTTGACTTTTGACAGTTCTATTGGCATCGGAAATAGATTTTTGCAAAAAACGCCCATCGGCAACTTAAAGTACATGAACGTAGAAATCTTTTAAGCCCTAGAACGTTTAAATCCATCAAAGCAATTTTTGTTTAGAGCTCTGTCCGTGTTGACGTGGAATGTCCCTTATATATATTTTTTTGCTTATTTTTGAGATATTGTATAGTTTTTAGGGAAATATAGTTAGTTTTTGGTATAATTTAATTTATTATTGTTGTCCTGTATTCCTTTTATTTATTTATTTAATTATTCTGGCATACGATCCATTCTGAGGTCTGCAATTTATATTTCCAATGGTTAATTCTTGTATTTGTAATTTCAATTTCACTTAGCCAATTTAATGCGTTTCGTCCATTTGGAAGCAATATATCGTTGTCTCCAATAAATTGATTGAATCTTCTTCTTGCATGAACTAATGCTAGACAGATTTTTCCTTCTTTGTTGTATAATGTTTCCGAAGGTTGAAATTTTCGTTTTGACTGTTTGATTACACTAATTCGTCTATCAGAGTATTCGATAAGAATGACTTTGAAATAATTTTCGAAAATTCGAAAATGTAGCATTAGTTGCCCGTTATAGGAAGGATTTGGTATTGGTACCGTGTTGTCGGGTTCAATTTGGGAATTCATGTAATCATGTGCGTCGATTTTGTCCAAAAAGAGTTTACAATTTGATGCTTGAATTGAAATTCCATTTAGAGCGAATTTTAAAAATATTGTTGATATGGTCTCAATATGTTCCTTCATATTTTTACTTGTCACAATTATACCCTTTGGATACAGTGTTATGTCTTGTCTCAAATCATTTTCGAAAATAGTATCAAAAAATTTATAAAATGTTATTTCGGATCCTTTTAACGTTGGAATCAATCTTTTGAATTCAAAGCTTCCGATTGGTGTGACAATTGATGTTTTATGTGTGTCATTAGGATGGATTTCTATTCTTGAATAAAGATCTGTTAAATCGAAGATTGATATTTCAGTATTTTCATTTATTTTGTGTCGAATTTGTTCAGGATCCTTGTTAGGATAGTTTGGTACTATTATCCTTTTGTTAAGTCGTGTGTAGTCTGTAGAAAACTTCCAAGTAAATCTTCTTACATGTGATGTCCATACGAAATTTACGTTGATTTTATTTGCGTAGGTAGAGTTTGATGGTGTGATTATTTCTGCTAGTGATAAATAACACAACTGTGAAAACAGGTCTTGTTTTTGTTCAATTGTATATAAATCTGGTGAATTGATTGTAGTGATAATTGGTATATCAGTTTTGGTGAAGATCTGGTGTTGTGTATGTGGAAAGGGCTCAAACGAGTAGTGACCAAACAATTGATAGTAAGATGTTATTAATTGTGTTACAAAACCAGCTTCCTCTGAACTCATTCTTTCTGTTTCAAAATCATCGAATATTTTTATATATTCCTCTGTCAATGGAGGGTGATTTTGTTCCATGGTTATCTGGAATTTAAAGATATTTATTTGTTATAAAGTTATTTAGAGGTTATTATTCTTTAAGAGATTTGAGGTTAGTTTTCGTTAAACAGAAGTTTTTCTTCGTTAGAGTTTACATAGTTCCAGTTCATATTTTCCAAATCCAGTAGCCATTGTATACGTGTAAATCCCTTTGATATAGTTTCTAACCACTGTGAGTTATTATTTTTATCAAAGAAAAATATAGGATTGTTATTTATAAGATGTTTATATTTTCTTGCACTATGTATGATAGCAAGGCTTCTTTTTTCATGATAATCATACAAAATTTCTGGTCCAGTATATATTCTAGAGGAACTTGTAATAGGAACGAGATGGTGAAGGTGATATTCATAGAGAGAAGTTTCGAATTCGTTTTCTTGTAATTTTATTTGTAGTAACAGTTTTCCTACATATTTTGATGGTTTTTCGATCAAAATTTGAATTGACATAGCGTGATTTAAACATTCAACGCAATTAGCAACTGATTGGAATAGTTTAATCTTATTAGGATCAATTGGGATGATTTGGTACAATAATGCGAGGAAAACATTGGTTAGTACTCTTCTGTGTTCGTCGAAGGTTGGACTAGCTATTATTATTCCTAGGGGAAGGAAAATGATATTATCTTCTTTCCATTTTGGAAATATTCGCCGTAGCAAATTTAAAAATGTTACTTGAGAACCTTTTATTGATGGAGAAAGAGAATTAAACTGATATTTTCCGACTGGAGTAGTAAATGCAGTTTTTGACGCGTCTTCTTTATTAATATTTATGTAACCATATAATTCTTCCATTTCTAAAATAGAAAAGTATGATTAATTTTACTGTCTTGTATTCAGTTTCAGTCGTGGGCAATTTTTATTTTGTCCATGTGTTTTTGAAAACGTTGCCCTTCTTCTCCTTCAAGAATGACATTATTTTTATCAGTTATATCAATTATTTTATAGGGTCCATGGTATCTTTTTTCGAATTTATGAGTTCTAGGTTCTTTTAAAATGTAAGCTGAATCTCCAATTTTACCTTGAAACTCGTTACAATATTTGTCGTATTTTATTTTAGAACGTCCTTTTGCTTGAATTAAATTTTTAGCAGCTATTAATTTTATTTCGTTAAGACGTGTAATTAATTCTCGAAGATAGGTTCCGTATGTTACTAGTTTTTCATCTGGAGGAAAAGCAGTTGGTGCTCTTGCAACCTTTCCAAAAATTAATTCATAAGGAGTAAAATTTGTACCTTCATGTACTGACGTATTATAGGAAAACATCGCAAAAGGAATAAGACGATCCCAGTCATCGTAATGATTAGAGTAATGTTTTATAAATTCTACGAGGACTGTGTGACTTCGTTCTAGTGATCCATTTGATTGTGGTCGGTAACCTGATGTAGTCAACTGTTTTACTCCAAAAATGCGGCAGAGATGGTTCATTAATTTGCTGACAAAGCTTCCTCCTTTATCGGTTAATATTGCTCGTGGGGCACCAAATTGGGCAAATAAATTTCCAGCCATAGCATGTGCTATAGTATTGAGGTAAAGGTTCCGTTTAATTTATTTCAGGAATTTCTTGCATATATAATTTTCGTGGTTGTTTTTCTTTGGGTTTTACAGTAATATTGATTTCTTCATCTTCTTCTGGTATAGTGTGGGGTAGAGAAAGTCCTGCAGTAAAAGGTGTGGATCTAGCTGTAGGTTTAATAGCAGTAGAAGGAGTCGTTAATTCTCGGGAGAATGTAGTTGATGTAGATTGTGACTCTATATCTTTATCTTGGTCAATTTTGTCAGTGTCTTTATTTTGTATTTGAATGGGGGGAATTTCTTTTCCGGTGTTTAGTGCAGTTATTTGTTCAGTTCTTTTTACTAATTTTTCAATTCGTCTTTCTAGTTCTTCATCTTCATCTTCCGTGTCGTAAGGGTCTAAATTTTCAAGAGCTGATAGTAATTCTTCATTTTTCTCTCCTTCAGATAGGGCTTCACAAGGGATCATAGTTGGTTCCTTTTCTAAAATATTTTCGTGTTCTTTCAAGGATATATTAAATTTTTCAAAAGATTTTTGGAGTTCGTCTCTTAATTGTTGACGTGTTTTATTTAAAATTGATTTGTTAGTGGATTGTATTTCGTCTTCGTTTTCGCTGTCAGAGTCACTTTGTGGGGGTCCTTCTAAGTATATAGGCTCAATTTCTGCTTCTATTATTGGTTCATTTTGCT